TGTTTTTCATTGAACTCCTATAAATTAGCTTCATTTTATGAAGCAATAACCTCTCTCTAAGCTGAAAAAGAAATTGCTAAGAGTGTAATATCATAAGGGAAGTTTGTTGATCTCACTTTATCCCCTCATTTGAGCTCTTAGTTTGCTTGTAGGTGAATAAACTTTGAATTCAGTTCAATTCACCATACGTATCATAGGTTCTGAGTTAGAAAGAACTTTAGAATTTAAACATTTAACTCCTTTATTTTTACAGATGAGAAAAAATGAGTCTCACAGAGATAAAGTGATTTGCCCAAGGTCAGAAAAATAAGAAGTGGGTAGGGGTGGAGGGATGGCAAGAATCTAAACTCAGGCCCTTTGATTTCAGAACAAGATATTTTTAGTATCTGAAAGTATCTATTAGTAATCGAGACAGAAGAGGGACAATATTAGAGAACAGCTAGCTGTCCAGCTTTGCCAGAATACAGAGTAAATGAAGAGAAATAGAAGGAATTAAGACTGAGAAGATTGGAGAAAGTCTGTGGAGGACCAAATAACAAGCTAAAGAGTTTCAATTTTATCCTAGAAACTAATGACAGACTGAAGGTTTTTGAGTGGGAAAGTAACGTGGTTCAGTTCAATTATTTTGACAGCTCTGCCAAGTATAGATTGGAGAAAGGATTGTTTGGAGTCAGTCAGGAAGACTTAATTAGAAGGCTACTGCAGTAGTCAATGTAAGAGGTATGAAGGCCAAAAAGTAGGAGTAGTCATTCTGGTTTTCATTGTTTGGTTTTAGTGGGAGGAAGAGATAAAAGTGGAACCTAAATATGATTTGGTCCTATTTTAAAAAAGTTTCCAAAATATTGGTTTCTGTAGTTGTTTTACATAAATATTTTGCATCAAATTGTTATTGGGAAAGACAGCGAATATGACTTGAATATATGCTTGAGCACCATACAGAGAGGATTTAAAAAGGATTTATTTTCCTGATGATCATGACTTACAGCATTAATGAAAAAACAAGTTCTGTTTGTGATTTTGACCGAAAGATGGCACTGTTGCTATTGTTTCTGTATTTTGCCTTTTTTAATGCAGAAAAGGGTTAAATTTTGTGATCCAATTGACACTGACCCAGCAGAGTGCCACATATCTAATCGTTCACAAAAAGAAACAACTAAAAAGTGGAATTTGTATCATATAAAGTGTTATGCCAAGACTTCTAATATCAATTTATAAAAATAACATACTGTATTTGAAATACTTATGATTTACCCTTGGAACAAAATAACATAGCCTTCCATTGTTTAATTTGATATTTGTATGAAACGGCCTTTACTTTGTGACTTTTAATAACTATCAAGTCTCCATGACATTCTAAAATGTTCAGTTTTTCAGTCATTATGTTCATACTTTTTTCAGGCTGGTACTTTTTTTTTCTAAAAACAAGGCATTAAAGCCAACTAGTCATTTTCTTCTGTTTTCCTTTCTCACTATATTTTACCTGATTGCTACTTGTTTGGATATGAATTTTGCTAAGATTACTGAAACTTAAAGAGTCATCTATATACTACTTGTAATTTGTCCTGGCCCCTAATACATCAATTTCTATTACTAAGTCTTTTTCAGTTATTGCTTTCTGTGAATTAGGAATATTTGTGCATCAGTTTTCCAGGGCATGGTAACAGTTGAAAAACAGTGAAGTTGGAACAAAGCAAATCTAACTCTAGGAAAATGAATGCTTTTGTAAATTGAACCAATTTTAATCACCCCCCTCTGGCCATCTCTCATGTTTTGGGGGAGAGAACTGATTAACTTAATGCTACTATCTCCACTTCCTCACTGCCAGCAGTTGATTTGATAGTGTTTTGACAACATATGATTTTTATTTAAGCAGTAAGACTTGTGAATATGTTCCTTAATTGATGTTTTTGCATATTTATAGTTAGATGCTTCAAAATTTAAAATAATTTTACTTTAGTCCAAATTAAGTTATCTTTAATACATAAGCACAGGGAAGGCTATGTGATTTTTACCAGTGCTCTGCTTTATTTCTAGTAGTCCACTTCTGGTGTGCTTTTCTGCAACCTATGAGCATTAAGTAATTTAAATAAAATATTTTCAGGGGGTTCCTTAAGTGAACAGTATACACACACATATACATATATGTGTGCACACATTTGTTCATAAATATGTATACATATATGTATTATAGTGTTCACTTAGAAACCTCTTTAGATATGTATAGAAATATGTATGTATGTTTGTGCACACATACATCACATATGTACCAACAAGCATTTATTAAACAATTACCGTGTGCCAGGCACTGTGCTCAGTGCTGAGGATGCACAGCAAAAGCACCTCCCATACTTCCCAAACCTGGTTACCATACTGACCCCTATACTATCACTTTAGATCCTGGGAAAGTAGGCTCAAACTTACAGTAATTTTTTTTTTTTTAACAAATCATTCACCTACCAAGTTCATTTATGAATGTGGTGTACCTGATAGATGAGCCCTTTCTTCTTGTAGGATCCAGCATCTTGGCTGCATGGTTAACTTAACTGCTGAGCTGGTTTCCAGTCATTCCTTTGAACAGTGCTGGCTTGGATTCTGGGTTCCAGGATTATGTTAGCTCACTCTCTTAACCTTTCAAAGATTACAAGGTTGCAAAATAATCCAATATTCCTTCATCTAGGGGCAGCCGGAAAGAATAGATAAAATAGAGTCAGAACAGAATCAGTAGCTTCAGGGCCATACCCTCCTGGACCATGTGTTGGCAGCTAGGGTAAGGCCATAGGCAACTGGAAGAAGGAAGCTGTTACCCTTCTGCAACAGCAGGGCCTCATGCCCTTGACTTTATTGTGGCTTCAGATGAGAAAGGGTCTAAGGGCCCCCCTCACCTAGATGTGCAGCTGTGTGTCCTCCTTGATCACCCCAGGAAAGGGGAAAAGTGCCAAATCATCTAACTAGTGTCTTTGTAAGCATTTACTGTATAATCTGGCTTCTTTAAGGCAGTGATTAGTTAGAGAATAGCACAAAAGGGTGTGGTAATGGTATCCATATTTTCATAATTTCTATACTTTACAAATGTCTGTGGTTCCTGTATTGTGCAGTTTAGTCCCATAGGGCAATCTGTGAGATATAACCAGTAGCTTCTTTAGTGACTGGGAGTTAGACTAGATGATCTAAAAGGACAAGAGGTAAGCCCCTTCTTCTGTAGGACTGTGACAGCTAAGTAGGGGGAAAGGGAAGGGCAGAAAGATGAAGAGTGAGGAGAAAAGCTTGTAGAAAATGCTTATTTTCCTTTTGTCAATAAAATACCAATGATATTGATATGAGCATTTCTAAATAAAGCAAGACTTGTCAAGAATGGTCAAAGAATGAATCTTTCTGAATAGCTGAGTTTTCGACATTGCTGAGGAGTTGTACTTCAAAGTTTCAATGTCTTTTATTTGTTGGCTTTTTTCTGGAGAAGATAGAGTACAATAGTAGGCAGTTGAAGGTCTCAAGCCCTTCTAGAAATCTGACTTTCGAGAAGGCTGGATTCTTTTGGGGAGGAGAGTGCAGGAGATACTGTTTATTCTTTAAAGTAAAATTCAACCTTCAAGAATCTTCCAACATGATATTAGAAATCATAGGAGATTCAAGGATAATTGCAACAACACATAATTTTCACTCCTCCACAATTTATTGTCAGATCTCACTACATACAGAGGTTGTCTGAAGGTTTCTCAAACCTTTCACACTTCCCAGGCACCTTCCTAGCTGAGACTTTCACTTCATATTTTAATTGAGAAAGTAGAACTCATTTTCATGAAGCTCCTTCTTCTCCACTTCATCTCGGAAACTGTCTTTTCCTGTACTCTTATCTCAGAAAAGAAGGAAGGAAGGAAACATACATTTATTAAACACCTACTATGTGTCAGGCACTCTGCTAAGTGCTTTATAAATATCTTATTTGTCATAACAGACCTGAGAGGTAGGTGCTCTTATTACCCCCATTTTACAGTTGAGGAAACTGAGGCAGAGGTTAAGTGACTCAGATTCATAACCACTCAGAAGAGTTTGGCCACATAGTGAAGAGGCTGAGTTCTGAAAAGTCAATTAGTTTTACTCAACCTAAGTTTACAAATGATTAAACTAACCCTTGTTAATGGGTTGGGGGGGGGGGAAGCACCTTTGGATCTGCTTATCCTTAGCTATATGAATCAGTCTTCAATTTCATTCTTCTTCAGATGTTCCCCTTCTTAATCACATAGATGACTACCAATATATTAACTTTCTACTGGAACAAGTGTGCGTGAAAAATCAGGCAATTGAGTAATATAAAAAGGTATAGGTTTTATTTATATTAGTCATTTTGTCTTTTTTGTCATGAGGCTACCTCAAAGAGGATTAACTGTAGGTAGCAGTGTGTTTGTAAATGTTTAACAACCAGCTCTCCTGAGAAGAAAAGTGTATCAGAAACATTCTTAAGCTTAATTTACATTATTAACGTTTTTTCTATCACTTTCTTAAATCTAGATAATTATTAAAATAAATCCTAATTTGTAGCATTTGCCAGTTTCTGAGGTATAAATGATCACATTGATAATTTAACATTTGGCTTTCAAAGGCTGGATTGAGTTAGCTTCAGCACACCCCTGATTGTAGGTCTTTATGTTTGGGATAGTTTGTAAAATATTAATTGCTAAGATGAAAAATGACAAAGTTACAAATAAAAAACAAAATATAATATGCATTTTCAACAAAAGGAATATTGAATTGTGGTAAAAATAACCAAACAAAAACTTTTACATTAATCTAATTTCAAAAATTGGAAGAAAAATAATTATAGAATATGTTAAGGTATAACTAAGACTAGAATTAAAAATTACAGAACGGCCTAACTTATTTTTTAAAAGCTAACTCAGCTTAATCAAGAAATTTTCATTATGTTAATTTTTTTCGCTTGATAGCCTCTTGTTTTTCTTTAACTCATACCAACCTTATGTATATATTTTTCTGATTACTTGTAGATCTGCAATCAGGGCATTGCGTCCTGGAGGATCACTTGTTTATTCTACATGCACCCTTTCCAAGGCAGAAAACATTGATGTGGTCGATCAAATCCTAAATTCTCATAGTAACATAATCCCAGTGGACATGAAGGAAATGGCCAGTGCAGTGTCTCATGAGTTCACATTTGCTCCTAATGGACAGGAATATGGGTTGTTGGTGCTTCCAGACAAAGGTAAAGCCTGGGGCCCGATGTTTGTAGCAAAATTAAACAAATCAGTATCCTGAACATATGTTTTATAAATCATATAGACAAATTGTTCTTTTTTTGCATGATCTGTACATAGGAGTATGTAAACAGTTATGCTGATACTATTCTTAGGTATTTGGAATTTTAGTCTATTAGATTCATATTTTATCCCCTCATATAGAATCTATGCTTGAGGCTTTTTTTCTTGGAAATACATCATTAAAAATTATTTGAAGTGGTTGTAGGTGATAATTATTTTGCCCTGTATTTTACTTGATATTTTATAGTTAAAATCATCAGAATGCACATTTTTGTTAGTAAAAATTTAAGTGTTGATGTTTTAAACCTTGAGGAAAATTAATATTAACTGATATTAATTTGTGAATTCATTTTTTTCCTCATGTTTTTGTGAAAGATCCCACTCCTGAAAGGTTAGTCTCTGTGATCAGTCCCAAACCCCAGGGTATCTCCTTGTTAACCAGCTTAGGCTCGGTTCCACCAAAATGGGACCCTGGTTTCTGTAAACAGAAGCCAACCTGAGCTAGGTCCTCCCCTAGGGACATATCCCTTTTTCTTTACTTTTCTCCTCATCAAAGTTGGGAGTAACCTGATCTAAACCAGGGATTAGGGTGGTTTTTCTAGCCAAGATTATAGAGGCAGTTGTGTTTTCATGATCAGCCCTCTTTCCCCAGCTGCCTCTCTCTACCCCAACCCCCAGTGGTTGGTTGGGTGATTTGTTGTCCTTTGTTCTCGAAGAAGACCAAAGTGACATCACTGTGCTAGAGTCAAGTTATAGTGTGTCCGACTGTGGCTGATCAGACCAATATGAGCTCAAACATTCTACCACAGGTCAGGCACAAATAGTCCATGTGAAGATTTGAGGTGGATTCCTTAAATTTGAACATCTTGCATTTCTTTTGAGCTTCTTCAGTTCTGCATTGCTCATAGAGCACAGCACCTTCTCTGATGAGGGCACACCATGCTGATTGGTCCTGTGCCAGTGTCTACCATGTCACATAATCAATTCCAAAGTTCTTTTTTTTTTTTAATTTTAAATTAAAATTTTTTTTTTAATTTTTTAAATTAAATTTTAAATTTTTAAATTTTTATTTTTAGACATTTGGGGTTAAGTGACTTGCCCAGAGTCACACAGCTAGTAAGAGTGAAGTGTTTGGTCTGAGTCTAGATTTGAACTCAGGTCTTCCTGACTTCAGGGCCAGTGCTCTATCCACTGTGCCACCAAGCTCCCCAATTCCAAAATTCTTAAGAAGAACCTGGAGAGTGTCCTTGTATCACTTTTTCCACCATGTGAAAGCTTGTTGGGAGGAGTTAAGAACTCTTCACTCACATCATTAAAATGTCCACCAATTGGGATTGCCTTGCTTTGCCAGGGGTGGTCCAAATAAGATACTGTCAGGCCAGTCAGAAAGAAGACACACCTGGATTTAAAAAGCCTTTTCAACTCATGTTCATATTTTTTTTGGCACAAACGAGGGCGGCCAGAGATCCCTTTGCTAATGAGTTCAGTGCTCCATTAATAACGATATTTCACTTGCAGTAATTGCCTGATTTTTATCAGTGTGGTAAAATTCTCCCATGACAACCTTTAAACTTGAATATCTACTAGCTGTCTTGTTTTTTTCCCTTTTTTTTGGAAATACAAAGTATTTTAGATTCTTGTAATAACTGATAGGTATCCAGAATCTGTTTTCTTACGAAGTGCTAGTTCTAGAGCCAGCAAGGTAAATTTCTTATTTGTCAGCTAGTTTATGAGTAAAGACTGCAAAGGTCAGTGACTCTATTGACATCAGTTTTCTTCCTACCTTTTTTCACATTAAGAAAATATAAATTGAAAGGGTAAATTATGCCAGGAAGTCTTTAAAACAGTAGATTCACATGCATACACTTGACTTCCAAAATTTAGCTTATAGAATAATGTCTGTGAAGCAAGCTATAAAGCAAATACTTGAAATAAAACTAGAATGACTAATAACTTCAATAACTAAACTGTATTTGTAGAGTTTGGTTACATAATTGTAATCATAATGAGCAGTACAGAATTGGATTATATCATAGTTATACTCTCAGGAAGCGTTTTTACTTCATTGGGTTGTAAAACACTATGTGAGTCTAATGTCACATATGTTACACAAGAGAAATGATTCTAAATCACATCTTAAAAAATAGACTAACCCAAATGGCAAAAGAGGTCCAAAAAGCCAATAAGGAGAAGAGTGCCTTCAGAAGCAGAATTGGCCAAATGGAAAAGGAGGTCCAAAAGCTCACTGAAGAAAATACTTCCTTAAAAATTAGAGTGGAGGAAATGGAAGTTAATGACTCTATGAGAAATCAAGAAATTATAAAATATAACCAAAAGAATGAAAAAAATAGAAGACAATGTTAAATATCTCATTGGAAAAAAACAAATGACCTGGAAAATAGGTCCAGGACAGATAATTTAAAAATTATTGGGGGCAGCTAGGTGGCGCAGTGGATAAGAGCACCGGCCCTGAAGTCAGGAGGACCTGAGTTCAAATCCGGCCTCAGACCAAACACTTGACCCATACTACCTGTGTGACCTTGGGCAAGTCACTTAACCCCGATTGCCTAACTTAAAAAAAAAAAAAAATTATTGGATTGCCTGAGAGCCATAATCAAAAAAGAGCCTAAACATCATCTTTCAAGAAATTATCAAGTACCTGATATTCTAGAACCAGAAAGTGAAATAGAAATTGAAAGAATCCACTGATCACCTCCTGAAAGAGCCAAAAGGAAAACCTCTGGGAATATCATAGCCGAATTCCGGAATTCCCAGGTCAAGGAGAAAATATTGCAAGTAGCCAGAAAGAAACAATTCAAATATTGTGGAAACACAATCAGAACAACACAAAGATTTAGCAGCTTCTACATTAAGGGATCAGAGGACTTGGAATATGATATTCTAAAGGTCAAAGGAGTTAGTATTAAAACCAAGAATCACCTTCCCAGCAAAACCCTGAGTATAATCCTTCACGGGAAAAAATGGACATTCAATGAAATAGAAGACTTTAAATATTTTTGATGGAAAAAAAAACAGCTGAATAGAAAATTTGACTTTCAAATACAAAACTCAAGAGAAACATGAAAAGGTAAACAGGAAAGGGAAATCATAAGGGACTTATTAAAGTTGAACTGTTTACATTACTACATGGAAAGATGGTATTTGTAATTCATGAGACTTTTCTTAGTATTAGGGTAGTTGGAAGGAACATATATATATATTATATATATATAGACTGAGGGTACAGGGTGAGTTAAATATGAAGGGATGATATCTAAAAAAGAAAATTAAGGGGTGAGAGAGGATTATACTGAGAGAAGAAAGGGAGAGGTAGAATGGGGTAAATTATCTCACATAAAAGAGGCAAGCAAAAGCTTTTACAGTGGAGGGGGAGATGAAAGGTAATGAGTGAATCTTATTCTCATTGGATTTGGCTTAAGGAGGGAATAACACACACTCACTTGGGTATAGAAATCTATCTTACCTTATAGGAAAATAGGGGGGAATGGGATAAGAGAGGATAAGAATGGGATGATAGAAATGAGGGCACATTGGGGGAGGAGGTAATCAGAAGCAAACTCTTTTGAGGAGGTACAGGGTCAAAGAAGGGAATACAATAAACAGGGAGCAGGATAGGATGGAGGGAAATGTAGTTAGTCTTTCACAAAATGACTATTATAGAAGTGTTTTGCATAACTCCACGTGTGTAACCTGTGTAGAATTGCTTGCTTTCTTAATGAGGGTGAGTGGGGAGGGAAGAAGGGAGAGAATTTGGAACTTAGAGTTTTAAAAACAAATGTTAAAAGTTGTTTTCACATGCAACTGGGAAATAAAATATACAGGCAGTGGAGTATGGAAATCTGTCCTGCCCTATGGGAAAATAGAAGGGGAAGGGGATAAGAGAAGGGAGAGGGGGGTGATAGGTGGGAAGATTGGGGGAAGGGGTATTCAAAATGCACACCATCTTGGAGTAGGGGGGAGGGGAGGGATGGAGAGAAAATTTGGAACTCAAAATCTTGTGGATGTGAATGTTGAAAACTAAAAATAAGTTAATTTAAAAAATAAAAAAAGAGAAATCATTCTAATGAGAACTGATTATACTGTTTGAGAGAAACCCTGAAGTTTTGTTAAATGGGTTTTCTCATTTATCTGTGTACTATGAATGCATGTGCTTTGAATTGGATCTTCAAGTAAATACCTGTTTTCCGCCGAAAAAACTAGAGATCCCAACAAATTTGACCACCATTAAGAAATAATGTAACTATAATACTCTGAAAAACTGACTAAAGGATACTTTGCATCTGTGTATGTCTTACACATATATGTAGGTAACTTTTGAAAACATTATAGAGTGATGTAATTGAAATGTGAAAAATTTGTTATCAAAACTTTTCAAAAGTACTAATTAGTGCCAGATGGTTGTTGATGAAAAGGTAAAGTAGACTGAGTGGATAAATCACAGAGAAAGCTCTTAAAATTTACTTTGATTCTTGAATTTCATAGTAAACTCTTTCCCCAATTAAGTCATGTTTAAGCCCACTCAGAATACATAGATATTAAGCCTTAACATGTTTACTGGGAAATGTAATAGTATAAAGTTCATTTTGTTTACTTCTGTAAACACAGGATTACTTACCAGCTTTCCTCTGATACCCCATAACTTAAGTTGCCTGACTCAAGGGTATAAGATGGTTAATTGATATTTGAAAAAATCCTTTGAAGATGCTCTAAATCACTATTGATTAGAGAAATGCGAATCAGAACAACTCTGAGGTACCACATTACACCTATCAGATTGGCTAACATGACAAAACAGGAAAATGATAAATGTTGGAGAAGATGTGGGAAAATTGGAACACTAGTTCATTGCTAGTGGAGTTGTGAACTGATCCAACCATTCTGGAGAGCAATTTGGAACTATGCCCAAAGGGCTGTAAAACTATGCATACAAACCCTTTGACCCAGCAATACCACTTTTAGGTCTGTATCCCAAAGAAATCATAAAAATGGGAAAAGGACCCACAAGTACAAAAATATTTATGGTAGCTCTTTTTGTAGTGGCCAAGAATTGGAAATTGAGGAGATGTCCATTAATTGGGAAATGGTTGAATAAGTTATGGTATGTGAATGTAATGGAATACTGTTGTGCTGTAAAAAATGATGAGCAGGTGCACTTCAGAAAAACCTGGAAAGACTTATATGAACTGATGCTGAGTGAAGTAAGCAGAACCGGGAGAACATTGTACATAGTAACAGCCACATTGTGTGATAACTAACTTTCATAGACTTGACTTTTCTCAGCAATGCAAGAATCTAAGACAACTCCAAAAGACTCGTGATGGAAATGCTGTCCATATGCAGAGAAAGAACTATGGAGTCTGAATGCAGATTGAAGCATACTGTTTGCTCTCTTTTTGTTGTTGTGTTGTTTTGTTTCTTCTTTCTTGTGGTTCCTCCCATTCTAATTCTTTATAACATCACTAATGTGAAAATATGTATGTATATGTAGAGCCTATATCAGATTGCACCCTGTCTTGGGGAGAGGGGAGGGAAATGAGGGGGAGAAAATTTAAAACTCAAAATCTTATGGAAGTTAATGTTGAAAACTAAAAAAAAAAATTAAGAAAAAGAAAAATTCTTTGAAATATTTTTAGGGCAAGTTGACTAGATGTGCTTCCTTATAATTGTGATGAACAAAATTCCCTCTTGGAGGTATTTCTCTTTCTACCTATGCTGTACAGATGCTGAACTGAAAGACAGGAATTTCAAGT